TTTTCCTCTCTGTGGAAGAGGGACATGGAAAAGACTGACCTTGTTTTGTCTAGGCAAAGGGGTACAATCAATTTTCCAGTGTCCAGCAGCTTTGTCCACAGTCTCAGCCAGGTCGTGACAGGCAATAAGTATCACATCTGAGCATCTCCTCACTGGTCAGCGTCACCATCATCCAGGTGCAGGAACTGGGGTGCCTTATAATCTTCTTTGGAGACTTTGGGTCACTGTCAGGTCATTGGCAGTCTGTCTGATATTATAAACTTTAAAATAACAATTTAAATGCCATATCTCCAGGTCTCTGAAGCATTAGAGGTCTGTTTGTCTGTTGTGTTAAACTATTGTGTTAAACTTGGGCTATTTAACCTGTGCTTTCAGTAGCTGGGCATGTGTATTTTTCTGCACTTTATAAACTAAGTGTTATAGGTCATTTGTATCTCATCTCTGATATTTGGTCTGTGATGGTGTGGTTTAAACAGTAAAATGTAATATATGATTACCTCAGAGAAGACATTTCACTTCTCAACAGGAGTATTCAGTATTTAGAAGTAAGACTCAGTTTATCTCCAGCTCCTGCTTATCTGTAATCCCAGCATTTGAGAAGTGAATGCAGGAAAATCTCTAGCCCGAGCTTGTCTTGGCTCTATATGTAGTTTGAAGCCACCATAGGACTGTGTTGGGAAATGTAGAGAAAGGAGAACGGCAACAATAATAACTTGCTAAGGACTTGGTATTGGTGTAGAAGAGCAAAGTGTATGCTTAGTTGCTTGAGGTCCTAGGTTTGATGTCTGGTACTGGGGGAAAAGAATCCCACAATATTCCAGTCTGTCTTTTTTTTATGTTGAACATTTAAAATTTTTACTGCTTTTTAAAATTGTGTGTTCCCATGTGTGCATGTGTCCATGTGTGCGAGCCACGGTATGTGTATAGAGATCAGAAGCCAACCTTCAGAGTCAGTTCTCTCCGTCATATATGTCCTAGGGATTGATTGAACGCATGTTGTCAGGTGTCTTAATTTACTGAGCCATCTGCCTGTCCTGCAGAGCTATCTCTAGTTTGATAGCTCAGTCATTATATTTCTCATCTTAAAAATTGCTGGTTATTGGGCTAGAGAGATGACTCAGCAGTTAAGAGCACTTGCTGCTCTTCTAGAGGATTCCGGTTCAATTTCTAACACCCACATGTCTTCTGACATCTGGGACTCCAGACCCAGGGGATTGGGCGACCTCTTCTGGCTTCATTGAGCACTGCATGCACATGGTAGCCAGATATGGATGGATGTAGGCAAAACGTTCACATTAAAGCAGTGATTCTAATTCTAATTCTAATTCTAATGATTCTAAAAGGTACTAATTATTAGAGGTGAATTGTATGTGTAGGTATATCTGAATATATACATATTATATATTATCATATTATAAATCATAAAAATAGGAATACTTTTCAAGAAGCACTATGAACAATTCATTAGGTTCTTTTGGAATTTTCAGGTTTTGAAATTATTTGACATGATAATAGATGTTAGGGGATTATGAAAGCAATAAGCAGTTTAAGAATATGTATTTGAAAATGAATGATTGCTTATAAATTTTTGTTAGCGTTTATTTTCCTCTTTTTCTAAGGAACAATACACAAGTTTTTCTGTAAACGAGTAAATTTATTTAGCATATGTGTATTTTTATTACTTTTACTTGGGAAGATAAATTTGTCTAGAATAAATTTCTTATACTCTCCATCTGGATGTGAGATTTTAGTTTTTGTCTTTTTTCTTTAAAAAATCATGCACTTTAAGAATGGTGTTTAACAAGCCCATTTCTTTTCTTTTTAGCCGTTGGAATTGCTTTGGCACTCATTAGATGAATGGTTAGTTTTAATAGCCACAGAGTTAATGAAAAACAAAAAGGACTCAACGGATATCACTTCTATTTTACTGAAACAAAAAGGCCAGGATCAGGGTGCCACTTCTATTTCACCATTTGACCCTTCGGGACCTGGGAGCTGTGAACACCTGTCCACAGGCACAGGGGAGTCTACGCCAGATGTGCTTGCAGGGAGTCCGGAAGCTGGTGCAGACTGTCAGGATGTTGTTGCTATGACAGCCAACCGACTAAGTGCTGTCATCCAAGCTTTTTACATGTGCTGTTCTTGTCAGATGCCTCCAGGGTAAGAAAGTTTGACTTAATATATTTTTCCATTGCTAGATGAAGAAAAGCTGTAATAATTTTGTAATTTCAGTAAAAACAAATACAATTTGTTGGATTTTTATAAAGCTCTAGTCTCATTTTAGGAATCTTATTGCACTAATATAAAACTAGTGAAAACATTTAAATTTTGTGAAAGTATATGCATATATTTGTGAATTTGTGAATGCTACTTTATAAAGGGCTGCAGAAAAGTTTACAATTTCCTGAAGTCCTTTGTTTATGTCATTTGTTAATAACAAGTTGCCTGAGGTTACTTCATTGTACTAGGTAACCTCAGTTGATAAGGAAGACATGTATCTAAGCTCTTCTTTTGGTCTAGGAGCCAGTCCCACATCACGTACTTATTGGATTTGGATATTATCTCAATACCTTTGTGTGTGCATTCTGATTGCTTTCCCCTTTCCCCCCCAGAATGACTTCTCCTCGATTCATTGAATTTGTCTGCAAACACGATGAAGTGTTAAAATGCTTTGTGAATAGGTAAGGCTTTCTGGTATTTTTTACACTGTCTTGCAAGCCTTTTCTCTATGCCTTTTTCTCTATTTATATATACTCATTTAAACAGAAAAAAATTAATTTTGTTGCTATTCAAAGTGTGGTCACTAACAAAATTATAGTGGGTAGAGGCAAATATTTTTTTTCTTCTACTTGAGCATTGTATATCTGAATTTGTATTTCATTCAGTGCTAATTATTGTTCTTTTTATGCTTCTTTTAGAAATCCCAAAATTATATTTGATCATTTTCACTTTCTTCTTGAGTGTCCTGAGTTGATGTCAAGATTCATGCATATCATAAAAGCACAGGTACAGACATTCTTTATCTTGTTGATATAGTGAAATAAAATATTTTTTATAAAATAAATTATTTGTAATTTTAAAATTATGGGTTTTTTGTTTGCTTTTTTTTTTTTTTTTTTTTTAAAAAAAATTTTTTTTAATTTTAAAATTTTGGGTTTTTTTTTTTTTTTTTTTTTTTTTTTTTTTTTAGAAAGGCTCCTCTGTGTAACAGTGTAACAGTCCTGTCTGTCCAGGAACTCACTTTGTAGATCAGGTTGGCCTTGAATTCATAGACACCTGCCTGCCTCTGCCTCCGGAGTGCTGGGATTAAAGGCTTGTGCCACCACTGCCCAGCTAAAATTCTGTTATTTTTAAAAAAATGTTGTTTCATTATTTTGTACATATGGGTATTTTGCCTTCCTGTATGTCTGTTTCATGTGATGCCTGGTCCTGTGGAGGCCAGAAGAGGGTATTAGACTCTCTAAACTGGATTTATGGACTGCCCTGTGGGTGCTGGGAATTGAACCTTGGTCCTCTTAACCTCTGAACAAATTAATTTTCAGATTTTGAATTTTGTTTAGTAGTTTTCCTTTAAGCTCACTGCCCGAAGATGACATTCCATGCTAGTTTAGTATGAGGGATGAATCTTCTTCTTCCAGAAATCTGTGTTGAGTGCCTACTGTGTACAAAGGCATGTACAGGGACAACAGAACACATTACCATATTTCTTAATTAATTAGCTTTGTGAGGCCTTTGAGGACAGGCTTTTATTCCCAAATACATTTAGGAAATAACACCCGTGCCCTTTAGGAATTTATAAAACACTCCAGGTGTATGTTAAAGCACTGTTAAACACTTTTGTAAAAGTAATGATTCAGTGTGACTGAATTTGACAACCTTTTTCCTTCTGGGGTTGTACCTATGTATTTCACTTGTCTGTGTTTTGTGGATGTATGAGGGGAAGCTTGGTTTGCTCATTTTAGTCGTGTGATTTTGGCCACATTTCTTAACATCCTTGAGCCTTAATTTTTTTTTTTTTTTAATTAAAAACTTTTTGAGACAGGTTCTCAGGTAGCTCCGCTTATCCTCACTATATAGCTGAGCACAACCTTGAACTTCTGATCCTCCCGCCTCCCCCTCCTAAGTGCTCAATTATAGGCATGTTTTACCATACCTGATTTATGTGATGTTGGGATTAAACCAGGTTGTACAGGCTAAAAGTAAGCACCGTGCCACTTAAGCTGTATTCCCATCCCGTGGAATCTTGATTTTGCTATCTATAAAATATGGAGATCATTACACACATTTGCTAGGAACAATAAAGTCTGAAGCTGGTATATATTCTTGTTATATGGTTGTAATTTTGTAGATAGAAATTCTTTTGTTCTCAACGGAGATTTAAAAAAGAAACACATTTTAGTGAGTCTTTTTGCCTGTGTGTGCACACCACATGAGTACAGTGCACCTGGAAGCCAGAAGAGGCAGCAGAGTCTCTGGAACTGGAGTTACAGACAGTTGGCCGCCATGTGGCTGACCTAACTGAGGTCTTCTAGAGGAAGAGGGGGTGGTGATCTTAATCACTAAGCTATCTCTTCAGACTTTCAGAGAGGACTGTAAGTAAATCCAACATGCAAAATAATAGATGAATCTATAAGTTTGTAGCTATATTACTAGATTGTTTTAAGATAGGAGTTTTTTAAATGACTCTGGAAAACTTGAAAAATGTGTGAAATTATTGTTATTTTTCCTATTGTTGCAAGAAAATACCCTGACAGGAAGTAACTTAAGAAAGGAAGTGTTAGGGTTGCCATTGCTGTGATAAGACGCCATGACCAAGGCAAGCTGGGAAGGAAAGGTTCATTTGGCTTACACTGTCGCATTGCGGTTCATCCCTGAGGGAAGTGAGGACGGGAACTCAAACAGCAGGGACCTGGAGGCAGCCGCTGATGCAGAGGCCATGGAGGGTGCTGCTTATGACTTTCTTCTCCTGTCTTCCTGGGAGCCTTTTTTTATAGAACTGAGGATTACTAGCCCAGGGATGGCACCACCCACAATGGGCTGAGCCTTCCCCACCAATTGACAAAATGTCCTACAGATCTGCCTACAACCCAGTCTTATTGGGGCATTTTCTCAGCTAAGGCTCCCTCTTCTGAAGTGACTGTACTATGTGTCAAGTTTATTAAAAAACAAATATGAAAAAATTTCAAGTATACTTCACATTTCACTGTTTATTAATAGTAGTTATATATACAAATGTTCATATAGTAATATATATTATATACATATATAAAATTAGTGTATGTGATTCAGTCAAATATTTTGCTCAAAACATTATAGTTTAGCTTGAAACCCAGTATTTAGTGTAACTGAAGTGAAGAGATTTGGTGGTGTCTTGCAGCCTGCTGGAAGAGTGTCCTCCTTTGGTATTGATGATACTGAACATGTTTAACCCTTTCCACTCTGGGCTCTGTGCTCCCGCACTGCCTGGAGCTCTCCTTTGACTTCTCAGGTTGTATGCAGAACTTGCCACGTAGGTCCTCAGTCTTGCTCTGGTCACGACGCCCTCCTTATTGCCCTGTACTCTCTAGTGAGACCCTCATCTCTCTGCATTGCAGCTTGGTTCATGACTGGTCAATCAGAGAACAGTTAGGTGTTTATTTCCAAGCCCCTGGTAATTGTATCTCACAGCAATTTTAAATTCAGGATAAATAGCACCTTACTTTTCACCAGTGCCTTCTAGGAGTGTAGCATTAAGGTGTGGGCGCAAAAGCTTACCCCAGCATGTGTCTGTCAGTGAGTTCTATCTCTAGATTCTCTCACTTCCCCCTGCTACAGAGGAATGTTGTCTTTCACACTGACTTTGTTATTCCTCTTTCCTATTGCAACCAGGACCCTATCACCACTTCCTGTGCACTCTTCCTTTAGACTGTACTCGCTTTGTACCTTATTTGCCCTGGGTTCACTGACCAAGTGACCACACAAGTGGTAATCTGGAACAGGTAGTTCCTTGTTCTTGGCCTCTTCCCAAGAACTGACAGTAAGAACCTGCACATATTTGCAGAAGTGGCAAGACACCTTTGTTAGAGGGAAGTGATAGTCCAGATTGTAGATGGATGTACTGTTGAGATTGACTGTGGACCTCATGAGTTGAGAGTACTTTACAGTCTCATTTGTTGTTAGTGTCTTCCTCTTATGGAGTTTGGTTGCTAAGGGAGCATGGGCAGTTCTTACCTGTTTTGATTAATAATTCAGAAATATAGTCATTTTTTCTGTTTCACCTGTCTTCCCATAATGTATCTGATTTCAATCATATACTTGACCAGTTATACATAGGCATAAGATGGTAAATAGGAGATTCTCCTGAAAACTTTACTTGAGGAAACAATTACTGCTCATGAGCCTAAAACCAGTTCAGGCCAGACTTACTGTATTTTGTACCGGATACATTAGGAGTGCACCTGAATCAAGTCTATACTGGAGTGCATATAGCCCAATACAGGTGGGGATTTTGAGTTGATTCTGAGGTTTCTTGGTGCATTGTTTGGAAAGAGGTGTGTGTGCATACTATATGCAGATGAAGAACTCAGCTGTCAAGAGCAGTTTTAGTAAGGGTATGTATGCATAGGCAGAACGAAATAGGGTTCCAGACTGAAGCTTCTCCTACACTTGATTGTCCAGTCCCTGTATCTTACTTACATGGATCTCACTACTGTTAATTATGAGTATAGTTCACTTTCACAGTCATCCCTCCTTCAACATGTTAGGATGCAGCTCCAGTGATGCCAGTACCTTTGCTGCATCTCCAAAGGGATCCAGTTTCACCTTCTGTGCTTTTCTCTTTGTCTCCCTTAAATTGATGTACCTGTTTTCCTATGTTCTGAGCAAGTTTAAGTCATAGTTCAAACTGTGATCCTGCGAAACTGCTGGCCTCATCCTTTGCATACTTTCTCAACCTTTAGTAACTTTGTTTGGCACTGTTGAGAACTTGATATTGTGTATATATTATTTTCTGTGTTACCTTCTTTTTAACTATATCAAGTAGTTCTCATCTGAAATTAAAATTTTACCACTCTTACATACTCAAATAACCTGCAGTATTTGCATATACTAGATCTTTAATATTAATTTCTGACAAATCATAAAAGTTAGAGATTATTTGAGTTTACTTTCCCTGGCAGATGAGTAAATATAGTAAAACTTTCAAGAGTTCTTAATTTTCTGCTTTTAGGTAAGAGAAGGCTGCAAGAGACTAAAATTGTATCTATTGCCTAGATTCCTAAGGAAAAAATAAGAATGAGCTAGGCATAAAAGATGAGTCTTAAAAAAATATTTTACTTGCTGGGTGGTGGTGCACGCCTTTAATCCTAACACTTGGGAGGCAGGGGCAGGCAGATCTCTGTGAGTTTGAGGCCAGCCTGGTCTACAGAGCGAGTTACAGGACAGGCTCCAAAACAATACAGAGAAACCTTGTCTCAAAAAAACAAAAAGAAAAAAAATGTAATTATGTGTATGTGTGTATTTCTGTGTTGTTATGTGCATGTGAGTGTAGGTGCCTGTTGAAGCCAAAAGAGAATCCCCAAGGCTGGAGTGACAGGCATTTGTGAGCCATCTGGTAGGGTTCTAGGATATAACTCGGGTCCTCTACAGGAACTGGATGTCCTTAACTACTGGGCTGTTTCTCAAGCTCAGAAGTTTAGTATTTGAAAAATTAAATGAAAGAGTCAGTATAATTTTATGGGTATGAAAATGTATTCATATAAGCATTATTTGGCTTTAAAGAAATTTAGAGTATGTTGCATATATGATGTTGAGTCCTTTGATTTAATTTATCAGTTTTTGTTGAAAACATAGAAATTAAATAATTAGGTAAGATAATTAAGATCACTTCTTTGTGAATGTTTATTGAAAAGTTTGAACATTAATGATTACATTTTCTCCCCTGATCTGGTAATTAGGTGGTTTAAATACTGTTAACATATTTTTAATGTTATTTTTTGGGGTAGCCATTTAAAGATCGCTGTGAATGGTTCTATGAACATTTACACTCAGGACAGCCAGATTCAGACATGGTACACAGGCCAGTGAATGAAAACGATATTCTCCTGGTTCACAGAGGTATGTTTGACAAAAACTGATAGATGGATATGCCATAAAGTGTCATTATTGTAAGTTTTCATATGTTAAAATTAACCAATGCTACATATTTAGATTCTATTTTTAGGAGTAGCTGTGAAATTGTGTCAAAAGCAAATTGTGCAAAACTAAAGCAGGGGATTGCTGTCCGATTTCATGGAGAGGAAGGCATGGTGGGTACATAAGATATCATAACACACTTACAAAGTTTAATATTTACCTGATAAATGAAGTCATTGAATATCATTTAAATTTTGGAATTATTTAAGAGAAAATGATTAAGTGCAATCTATTTCTGTTGTTGCTAAATTTTATTTTCTTGAATTCAGGGTCAAGGTGTTGTTCGTGAGTGGTTTGATATTCTGTCCAATGAGATAGTCAATCCTGATTATGCACTATTTACCCAGTCAGCAGATGGTAAGTCGTGTAGTCTAGACCTTTCTATGACTGCCATATTCATCAGGCTATGTCAGAGAGTTTTGTCTTTGATCCCTTAGCAGCTCTGTTGTCTTGGTGGATGTTGCCATGTCATAGAAGAGGAAACTGAAGTTCTGAGTTTCCTCCTCACATAGCCTTCTTCTGAACAGTTTCTAAATGCTTGTCTCAAGGCCCTGACAACTTCTTTAGAATTTAGCTTTAAAATTTGTTCAATTCAAGAGTTGTGTGTTAACTTTATTGCTACATTTAGATAACATTTTCTTTTATAAAATGGTGGTAGATGGACTTTAAAGAAGTCTTTATTTGAAAACAAAATTTGCTAATCCTATTTGTATTTCCAAGTTGTAAAGTCTGTTGATGATGAAAATCAGTCTAGTATTTGTGATGTTACATCTTAATTCATTTCTTCATACTGGCTTTATTTTTAGTCCTTTTAAGAGATTCAAGTCAGGTAACTCAAAAGCATGTACTGGAGAGATGGCTCATCCATTAAGTCTAGGCTCACAACTAAAAATAAAAAGCATGTACTTAGCCACATAAGATGAACCAGTATTCCTGGAAATGGTTCTTACAACCTATATAAAGGTATATTTGATGCTGTGAACTGAACACTAGTTTGAGAGGTATGTCTGAGAACTAACTTAATGAAGAGATATTTGAAGTGAAGATGGGATTTCAGTTTTCAAATGCTTTGTATGGTTGCTTATTTTTCCTGGAAATATTCCCCGTATATGCTCCTGTGGCGGAAGAGAATATCTTATTATTTATAACTTTTGACTGTTTCACCAAAGTGGCAGCAAGTGCCTGTTTAATGAGAAGCGTTCAGGGAAGTGCCAGAAGGGCCACAGGGAGGGCAGAAGGCATCTGTTGAACGGTGCCGCTAGCACACCTGGGGTAATGGAAATCACTTAGGGATGTGGAACTGCTGGCCTCAACTCTGTAACCTCTGATTGTTTGCTGTGAGGTCAGTGTGGTGTTCGTGGTTTTTATGATGAGTTTAATAAAACAAGTTGAATTATATGGGCTTGTTTTTTAAGCTAGAGTCAGCGTACTGGAGACTTCTTTTCTGTGCAGTATCTTACTCTGAGTCAGTTAAGTTGACATGTGGTGTCATTAGATCTACTTCCTAAATGATGTGATCGACAGTAGAGTGTGTGTAATCACACAGACTAAGGGTTTGATTGGTTCGTTTTGTAATTCATATAAGTCTTCTCTTGCGGGTCATAGTAGTAGTAACATAAAGGTAAGGTAGAATATTCCTTGTTATTACGTGTGGTTGTCATGAAGGAATGACATTTGGGATTTAAGAATTCTTGATGTGGGGATTGTTTAGTTAGATCTAATATCTATAGTATAGTAAAAAAAAACAAAAACAAAAACAAAAAAAAAACTTATTTTTCTTACCAAATTAAGATAGACACACAATGTAGTTCAGTTGTTAAGAGTTTGGCCTCTGCAATGATAGTAGATGTGAATCCTGTCTCAGTCACTTTTCCTCCTGGGTCAGGAACTAAACCTTTCTGAACCTCAGACTCCTCACCTAATTAATCATGATGATGATCTGTATTTAGAATAAGAATTTAGTTAGGTGATACAAGAAAACAAAGAGTGTGAAATAAATATTAGATGTTCTTACTTTTATTTTTGAGATTTTTTTTTTTGTGTAATAGGATTTCTATCTGAAAAATATTCACTATTTCTTGAAAAATATTTCAATAAACCCATTTGTTTGAAAAAATAACCAGTTTTAAAATTTTCTTTTTAGATTTTTGGTTTTTTGGAGACAGGGTTTATCCCTGGCTGTCCTAGAACTTGCTCTGTAGACCAGGCTGGCCTCAAACTCAAGAGATCGACCTGCCTCTGCCCCCTGAGGTCAAAGGGTTTGGTCAAAGGCATGCACCTGGAGCTGGAGTTCCAGGCAGCTGTGAGCTACCAGATGTGGGTGCTGGGAACTGAACTCTATTCCTCTGGAACAACAGATGTGCTCCTTACCATTGAGCATCTCTCCAGCCCAGTTAAACAGTTTTTGCTACATAAACTAAGAACCTGATAGGCTCATAGATACATTTAAATGTAAAGTGTAACACAAACTTTTATTGTTTCAAGTAGTTCAAGTAAAAATTCCTTTTCTGAAAATTTTTGCTTATGTAATATTCTTTTAATTTTCTTTTATCTATTCTTTTTAAGAACCTAGTTTTCTCGGAAACTTGTTAGTGAAGGAATGAGTAGGAGGTAGGAGAAGAAAGTAGAGTCACCAAAATCTTTGCTGGTACATCTATAATCCAAGGCATTGTTACTTAACCAGGAAAAAAAATGATTATTTTCAGCATATTTTGTAGAATTATGGTTATGCTTATCTTTGAAGTCTTTGTGACTGTTGTCACATCTTGCCTTGGGATAGGAAATTACTGTGAGAGGCAGTTCAGAGTGAATGATATGTTTCACATGCCTATTAATTCATTCAAGCACAAGCTTCCAAATTTGTTACTTCACACCTATAGACAGGTCACAGCAGTTTAGTCCAGTGTTGCATGGGCAAATCAAAGATCTGTAAAAACACCAAGTGAATTGTTGTCAAAATAAGTATTTGAAGTGATTAGACATTTTATTTTCTGGTACCTACCCACTTTTCTTTGCTGCTATTTCATTAGTTTTATGAGTTAGTCTTCGTTTTTTTTAGTCTTGTATTCCAGAATAGTAGTGTAAAGCTTGAACTCATTGTATATTCTACTAGATGAATGAGTCAATTTGTAATCCATGTTAATGACCAGAAAAAAGTATTGAAGAAGCGATAAAGTCAAGATGTGGCCTTAGATCTTGCCATTGTAGTAGTAGTAGTTGTAAAATTTCAAATTCACCATGGAAGACATTTGAAAGTAGATCATGTGCTGGCATTAAGTACATTTGCTGTGCTGTTCAGCTGTCTTTCCATCAGCCCAAGGGGAGCCCCTGTACCTTTGATTCAGTCCTTCTAGTCTCAGGTAACCTAGTCTCAGGTAACCCTAAGTTTTTATGACTGTTCTAAATTTATCTGTCCCATATAGTTCACAGAAATGAATCACACTGTTACGCAGTTTTTAGTAGTAATCACACCCTTACTGTTTTTTACTTTGACTTCATTAGTAGTTGTCTAGACTTGATTATTTGTCTTGTGAAAGAATTAGATGAATTTTAGGTGTAGTAGATGTTCATCATTAGTAGGCATTAATAAGCATCACATTCAGTGTTTAAGTTTGTTACAAAGAATGGCTGTTTCCATCGTAATGTATATCTTAACATGCAAAATCTAGAGAGTACTGGGCATGTATAGATGAATGAAATAATATCTGCCCAAGTTTATGGCTGAATAGCTACTGCCACAGTACATACAAAAATGTGTGTGATCTTTTACTGTATTTTACCAGGATCTCTTTGATATAAGTCAGAAATATTTTATAACTTCCTCTCTGTACACAGATTATCCTGAGAAGTGTGAATTAATGGTTATCTTTTATACTCCAATTCTATTGTTTGTTTATACATTCCACAAAGAACTGCATAATGTAACTATGGCCTTTGAGTTAGGTGTGGATAAATTTACCTGCTTTGGATTGTTCTCTCTGTGCATGTGGATCATACTACTTTGTATTTATTTCAATAGGAACAACTTTTCAGCCCAATAGCAACTCCTATGTCAACCCTGATCACTTGAACTATTTCCGGTTTGCTGGACAGATCTTGGGATTAGCTTTGAATCACAGGCAATTGGTCAATATTTACTTCACACGATCATTCTACAAGCACATTCTTGGTATGGGCTTATTCCTTCCGTAGACATTTGCATTGCTTTTCTTACAGCTTTTAGAGACAACTGAAAAGCATTGCTGTTTGTATTGAAATAATTGCTGTTTTGATTAGAGACCATATGTATTTCTTAAGATATCTGGGAGCTAGTGGGAGAGAAAAATGTCCTTTTAAGAAGGAGCACCTTTAGACTTTTCCCACTTCCATTTGAGTGTGCATGTTTGTACAAAGCATCCATTTTTATGTGAGTGTACCTGAAGTAATTGTCAGTTCTGAAGCTTATAAGAGGTTCCTAAATAGCTGTTCCAAAGAAAGACTGCATTGTGTCAATGAAGAAGGAACAGCAGCTCATTTAAATGGACTTCTAAATTTAGAGATTTCATCCATTTAAAACATGCTCAAATTTGATTATATTTTGCTGTTTTTCAGAGCATCTGTAGAGGGCAGCATTTTACCACTAAATACGTAAAGGAAAGTCAGAAACATGTATTCTAACTGTTGGTTTTGCAATTTTTTAGGTATTCCTGTAAATTACCAAGATGTAGCATCTATTGATCCAGAATATGCCAAAAATTTGCAATGGATTTTAGATAATGACATTAGTGACCTGGGTCTAGAGCTGACTTTCTCTGTTGAGACTGATGTGTTCGGTGCAATGGAAGAAGTGCCTTTGAAGCCTGGGGGTGGAAGTACTCTTGTGACACAAAATAACAAAGTGAGTATCACCTTTTACCTCAGGCATCCTTACCATGGCCCCAGTTGCCACGTTCTCTAAATTATTCCAGCATTTCCTAGAAAATGTACTTTGTCATTGCTAGTAGATGAAAGTACTTAAAAGTTAACCAAACTATATCACATTGAAGACTCAAGTCTAGTACTGTGTTGAGATGGTTGCAAGGCAGTCTAGAACACTAGTTGATTGTGGAAGTTAGGCTGCTGCATTCTAAAAAATTTGATTGGAAATATGAAGTAAATGATGGTAATATGTGCAGTAATCACTATTATTAGTGTTAAAAGTTAGGTATTAAAGCATTTTTATTAGAATGTATGTGTATGATGGATGTGTGTGTGTGAACAAGCATGTCTCCAGTGCAGATAGATGCATGTGAAGCCAGGTGTTGACAGGACAATGGGTTGTTATACTAACAGTTGCTTCTACCTTTGTGTGTGTGTGGGGGGGGGCTGTTTAAACAGTATTTACTGACACTTACTGCAACTGTGGACTTTGGGGTGACAATTGTTTTAGAAACTTACACTTTGGGGACACTGGCATGGATGCAGCTGTATATAAAGGAGTTCTCCACAGAAGTGGGTGTGATCTGAGAAGAGACTTGTTACTATGTGACACATGTCTATATAATGCTTTCTAGAGTCCATTGTCAAGGAGAAAGGGAGTGTGGGTTAATGTGTGAAGTGGATGCTAAGCTCTGTGGAGCACATTGACTTCCTCATATATTTTCAGACACCCGAGGGCAGGCCTGCAGCAACACAAGGAAGATCTTTAAAGAGCAAGGGATGGCCGAGAGGATACCCACTTTTATTCTGTCTGTGTGTCTGAGTAGTTGGTTGACACCGTTTTATTGTTGCGTGTACTTTTTGCAACAGTATCTCTCAGGGAATCTGACACTCATCATTTTGCCTACACTGTCTGGCCAGTGAGTCACCTGTGGCTATCCGCACAGGTTGGGGTTACAGATCCACACCTCCTTTCTTGGCTTTCACTTGGATTCCAGGGGTCTCAACTCAGGTTCCTAAGCTTATGTAGCAAACACTTTTCTCACTGAACTGTCTTTTCTGCACCAGATTATAGTGTTTTGGCACAGAAAAGAAATCTCAGTGTTTAAACTTTGTCTGTGCTTTCATGTTCCAGTAAGTACTACCTCTCTCTCTATATATGTGTGGGTGTGTGTACATATATATATATATATATATATATATATATATATATATATATATATATATATATAAAACTTAATTGATTTTATTATTACATGTCATCTATATAACATTTGTTTTCAATTTCAATTTGACTTAGAAAATCGATGACATTTAATATAATACAATTTTATATTGCTGTATATATCTGTCTTAGCGTTTTTTTTTTAAGATTTTATTTATTATGTATACAACATTGTGCTTCCATGTATATCTGTACATCAGAAGAGGGCACCAGATCTCATAACGGATGGTTGTGAGCCACCATGTGGTTGCTGGGAATTGAACTCAGGTGGAAGAGCAGTTGGCGCTCCTAACCTCTGAGCCATCTCTCCAGCCCCCTGTCTTAGCATTTCAATTGCTGCGATGAAACATCATGACCAAAAGCAAGTTAGGGAGGAAAGGGTTATTAGGTTTATATTTCCATATTGCTGTTCATCACTGAAGTAAATCAGGACAGGAACCTTGAAGGCAGCAGCTGATGCAGAGGCCATGGAGGGGAGCTGCTTACTGGCTTGTTACCCATGGCTTGCTCAGCCTGCCTTTTTAATAGAACCCAGGACCAGGTACTGGGCTGGATCCTCCCCAACTAATTGAGAAAATGCCTTGCAGCTGGATCTGATGGAGGCACTTCCTCAGCTGAGGCTCCTTCCTCTGATGACTCTAGCTTGTGTCAATTTGACACACAAAACCAGCAGGACAGTATCTATTGAAATTTTGTAGACTTTAGATTTAGTAAAATGTGGAATATTTTTAGAAGGCCCAAAGACATAGGCACATCTTTTAAAAGTATGCTTGTTCTTTGAGAGTTTCATGCCTTCCACTCTTCCTACAAGATCCATTTCCACCTCCATTCCCTCCATCAATCCTTCCTTTTTTTTTTTTTAATAACCCACTAAAATAAATTTCTACCATCTAATTCCTCCTTTACTTCAGGGTGTGGGGCCACCTGGTGGTGTCGGGGCCACCTGTCAGGAGCTGTATCCTTAAAGAAAACGATTGTCCCCTTCCCCAGCCTCAGAAGCCATCAGCTTGCAGAAGCTCCTTGGGTAGTGTCATGGTTCAAACCCCTTCCCATCTGTACTAGACACCACTGCTGTGAATTCATGAGGGCAGTGGGCCTGTCGTGCTTAGAAGGAAGGTTTGATGTGATTATCCTGGACCTCTTGCTCTCGTGATCTTTCTGCTTCCTAGTGATCCGAGCCCTGGGGAGGGGTGTGATATAGATGTCCCGTTTATGGCTGAGCCCTCCACTTACACTTACTGTCTGCACTTTGAGCAGTTGTGACTTCCTGTGTTAACCTGCAGCCACTGAACCAAAAAAACTTAGCTGATGAGGAGTAAGAACTGCACTAATCTGTGGCTAAAGAGTGATACAAAATTTGAGGGCAGTTTGATCTGTGTCCATTTAGCAAAATGGTAGTAATAGGTTCATTCCTGGGGCCTCTTAGCTCCCCAAACATGAGTTCTTTGGCAGAGTTAGTACTAGGCTGTACTGGGGAGTGGGCCTTAACTGCAGTCAGGAGGTGGTTGGTTTCCCCGATGATATCTATGCTGTTATTGTACCGGTTAGCAGAGCTTCTCATGTTGCTCTAGCTCACAGGGTTCAGAGCTGAGAAAGACTATTGATGACTCTTACACCCCAGGAGCACCTTCCAGTTCTGTGAAAGCTAGCCAGCAAGGAGGAAGCTTCCTGGTCACTACCTATTTGATTTCTCCATGCGCAATGGTCAGTGTTTGTGGTGTTGTCAGCAATAGGGACTTAAATCAGGAGCAATTGCAGTTACCTGTACTGAAAACAGGTCTCAATGGTATGTTGGACTACAGCTAGAGGGGAACTATCCCATTTCTTGCATTGAGCTTTTATTTGTCAATCATGATCACATTTTAAAACTCATTGACTTTGATATTCTGTCCTATTGAATTGGGATTATGATAGAGAATTTTATGAACATTTTTGTTAAGTGAAACAATGCAAAAATTAGTTGTTTTGGATAGTAGTTTATAAAATATGTTCTTAGTTTTACATAATTATAAATTGAATTGAATGTGAATTGTAAATGTGAATTGAAAACTTCAGACTTTATATTTTATACTCACACAAAAAAGTCAAGTTCAGGAATTAGAAATAAAATTGGGAACTGAAGTTTCAGTCATTCATACTTAGGGATATTTACAGATATTTATACACAAGGACATGGAAGCCTAAAGCCACGGACATGGGTAACTCCGTCAGTACTGAGCAAGACAAAAGCTTTTTAGTAGTGTTTGTATCCATGACTCAGCACAGCTAGCTCTGGAGTAGAGTGAATGTTGAGGCCATGGCTTATCACTCAGGATTTGGAGCCCGAGGTTCCAAGTTCAGGACTGAAGCAGGTCTCAATCCTCCTTCACTCTTTGATGATGCAAGTGGTGACTGTATGGCATACCAGGAGGATACCCAGTCCCAGGAGGCTGCTTTCCTTGTGTCGGGTTATACATGGTTGCCAAATGAGTTGTGGGGGAGTCGTGAGGTGTGGGCTGTGCTAATTCTGCAGCCTCAGGGTTATGGAGAGTTCCTGGTCTGCAGTTGTATATAACATACTGGCTTAATGCCTTAAAAACAGTGAGATAAGTGCCAGGACAGCAGAAGGAAAGGGATCCTACTGCTGAGGCAAAAACCAAAGAGCAACCTGGGGAGGACAGGGTCATCTGACTTTCATCACAGGCGGTCATGAAGGAAAATCAAAGCAGGACACTGGCGGCAGCAGCCGATGCAGAGAGCATGGAGTTCTGTGCACTGGCTTGCCCCCAGGGCTTGCTCAGCCTGCTTTCTTGTATAACCCAGGAGCACCTGTCCAGGAGTGGCTTCCCTCTCAGTGGCTGGGGCCTCCCCCTCAATTGTTAATCAAGAAAATACTCCACAGCTTGCCTGTCTGATGGACAGATTCTCAGTAGCTCCCGCTTCCCAGATGATCCGGCTGTGTCATCATCACCACAGGCTTTCTCCATTCCTGGGGGTGAGAAGGATGTGTAGCATTTGCACCATAGGTTATAACTCAACAAAGTCTGACTTAGAAGCACTTTTTAAAAAAAGGCATAAGTGATCCAACATCTGATAGAGTTTATGTACACATACAATAATTCTGTGCCAACACATTTTTTATTACTTGCTGAATTTTAAGTGATCTTGCTTCCTATGAGGAAAATGTGATTTAAGATAAGATGCATTGTAATTGTAATGTTTAGGAAATTGAAGCAGGAGGATTCTAAGTTTAAGACAATCCTAGGCTACATAATGAGACCCATTTTAAAAGAAAAAAAGAAAGTAAAATTTGAAAAATAGAGTAAGTCTTTTTGTTTGTTTGTTTTGGGTTTTGGTTTTTTAAGACAGGGTTTCTCTGTGTAGCCCCGGCTGTCCTGGAACATGCTCTGTACACCAGGCTGGCCTCAAACTCTGAGATCTACCTGCCTCTGCCTCTGAACTGCTGGTATTAAAGGTGTGAGCCCTGTTTTAATTCAGAATTGAACTGGCTATGGTAAAATTACCCAGGTTCAAGGGATGCACAAATGTATTTGATAGATGTATGCATTTGTTTTATGACACACTATTGAACATAAGGTAGCAGCTCCGCATTTGGGGAATGGCCATAGGCTGAGTGGAATGGGATGCTGTTAGCACCAAGGTAGAGTCAGGATTATTTATGGCCTTAAAGACTAGGAAGTATATTTGGATTTTATTTTCAACTCCCAGGAAGTCAGTAAGGAGAAGAGCAATATGACTCAAGTATGTCATCTATATATCTTCAATCTACTCTGGCTGTGGTGTGGAGAAGCAGCAGTTGAGAGGTGCAGATGGGAACAGGGATGACTGACATGTACAATAAACTGATGGTGTGCTAGAGTGGAGTTCTACATAGCTAGTTGGCAAGTGCCTACGCATGGTATGCAAGAAGCCATGGGGATAGTTGCAAAGATTTGGGCCTGATGGCTTGGTGAGTGTATTTATTGGTTTGCTGAGGTTGGGAATTGGCGCCAAGTTAGTTCTAACCCTGTGTCGCTTACATGAGAAAGAGCTGTATCAGTACTAGCTTAATTATATGAAATTTAAAATGTAATAATCACAAAACCTTTTTTTTTTTTTAATAGGCGGAGTATGTCCAGCTTGTTACTGAACTTCGAATGACAAGAGCTATTCAGCCTCAGATCAATGCTTTTTTACAAGGTTTTCATATGTTCATCCCACCTTCCCTCATACAACTGTTTGACGAGTATGAGTTGGTAAGGAAGAATGTGTTCTTTCTTGTTGCACTGGAGCACAGCTCCACTTAATGTAATTCAGAGACACTTTGAGGATTGGCGATGTAATCTATTGGTAGAGCAGTTGCCTAAAATATCTAAGGAAGGGTTTCATTCCCAGAGCCATAGAAAATAAAAGCAGAAGTAATTTTGGACTACTGAATGGGATTTACTTAATGAGGCATTATTGTTTAGAATTTATTCTTAGAAATTTGTAAGCAGATATGTGGTTTTACTTCTCTTAAGCTGAATAACCATATTAACAGTTGTTTAATGTGAAATGTGGTGAGGTAGGGTAAAGAGAAAAACACGTTTTTAATGTCTTTGGTGTGGGAAATGTGGAAGGCCTGTCTGTCTAGAAGCTGCGTATCCCACATTGCTTCTGAAATTCTTTCTGACTTGGTCTCATGGAGGGGAAGGATGCTATTCCTAGCCCCTTGCTTAAAGAATTAAGAGGGGCTTTTCTTGTTGTATTTGTGTGTCTTCTATATTTTCTTATTTTAGTGTGTGTGTGTTTACCATTACCATGTATATAATTTTATAATTCTTTATTTCCATCCTTTATGTGGCCTTTGTTCAAATCCCCAACGAATGTTTTGTTCTTCAGTTTTCCTGCTTTTTACTGTGACCTAATAGAATTTATACTTTTATATTACTTATGTCTGATTTTTGTCTGTTTCCTTTTTGTTGTTGTTAATAAATTACTTTCAAACTCTTTGAGTTGTTTAAACCCTTAGACACAGTATTTTAGTGAGTATAGCTGCTATAGCAGTACTTCTCTTACTACTGGGTTGAGTGTCTGACAGAGGAGCTTAAGGGGGTAAGGGTATAATTGGTTCATGGTTTGAAGTGTGTGTGTGTGTGTGTGTGTTTCATTATGGTGGGGAAAGCAAGATCAGGGCTGCTCCTGGCTATGGTTACATGGGGCATTAAGGATGCTTGTTCACATCTTGGCAGTTAGACCAGGAAGGAAAAACCCAGAGACAGATTGGACTGCAAGTAGGAGTCTTACAGTGGAGCAACTGGGCAAGGATTGGTGTTAGGTCTTTAAAGCATGGGGGAGTTCTGCAGAGAAGCCATCTAGGCCTGGACATTTTTTTTTAACTTGGAAAATACTTTTAATTATTTCTTCAATCTTGTTGCTTGCTATATATCTGTTAAACTCTTTATCTCATCTTGTTTTAACTTTGGTAAGTCATATGTGTCTAGAAACTTCTGTTTCTTCTAGTTTATCCAATTTATTGTAACACACTTTTAAGGTATGTCTATGATTTTCCAGATTATATTGTTAACTTTTATAATGCCTTCCTTTTCATCTCTGATTTTATGAGCTTTAATCTTCTCGTAGTTTTGTCTATATTTTCAATGAATCAATTCTGTTTCATTGATTCTTTGTATTTTTAAAGTTTCTATTTCAGTAATTTCTGCCATGATTTGATACCTGTTACTTTTTATTATTTTTAACTTTAAAAATTATGTATATGTTTGTCTGTCTGTCTGTCTGTCTGTCTGTCTGCTTGCTATGGCATGCATGTGAGTACATGTAGAGGTAAAAGGACAGCTTGCAGTAGTTGGTTCTTTCCATTGGCCACTTGGGCTTCTGGGATTTAATCAGGTCATGAGGTCTGGTGGCACCTTCTGGCTGTCTCTCCAAATTCCTGTTTGAAATGTATGTGTTTATAGCTGTGAACTTCTCTCTTAGGGCTGCTTTCATTGCATCCTGTAGGTCTTGCTGTACTGTGTGTTCATTTTCTTTGAATTCTAAGACGTTTTTTTCTATCTTGCTTTCTTTAATTATTCATTCACTCTTTAGTAGTGCACTGTTCAATCTCCCTGAGTTTGTATGGTTTCCCTTGCACTTTTTTTTTTTTTTTTTTTCTGTTGTGGTCAGATAGAATACAAGAAGTTAATTTAGTTTTGAGACTTGATCTTAGAGAAAGTTCAGTGGATTCTGGGGAGAATGTGTGTGGTCAGTCAGTATCTGTACGCCTGCTCTATGATGTAATGCAATTCCAGTGTTTGTCGTGTGCTTCTGCTTCATTGATAGCAGTGTGCTAAGTACCCAGCCCCAAGGGCAGTTTCTCTTCTTCCCTTCTGCTGTTGCTGTTTCCCTGAGTAGCTTTGTCCCTGGCTATTTAGAGTGTCCTTGCTTCTCTACTACCTTCCCCACACCCCAGTTTTCCCCAGCGTAATTTCTTGAGACTTTGGCCAAGTGTACCTGAATGTTGCCTGCTTTGTTGGGTTTGGCAGGTTTACCTATTTTAAAAATAAGTGAAAAAACAAACAAACAGAAAATACCTCAGCTTTATTTTGTGAGAATGATCTATACAGTTGCACATAATTATAACTCACTTAATAGTATTTTATTATGTCACTTTCCTTTTGTCTTTTACACTCTTGAACATCAACAGAGTCTTTACAGTTCATGACTATTTTAACTAGTTGTGCCATAAATATTGTAGTTTCTCTTTATGAGAGTATGTGTATTGTTCTGTGTGCATGGATTTCTTAGCATAGAACAGGGCCATGCTGCACCAAGAAAGGAAACTTTACAATTTTTGTATACCTATTTAAGGATTCAGGTTTGATTCTAGAGTTTTAGTGAAGAGAAAGCATATGGCAGCTTCAGTATCCCATCATCAGTCGCCATGGGTAGAGAGCCCAAGTAAAGTGATGAATTAGATTGAAAAATAACGACAGAGGTTATCCCTAGGACACATTGTGCTACATCTATGATACAAGCCTATCAAAACCCTAAGTCATAGGAATTCCAGGCTATCCAATATCTGTGATTCATGTTCCATTATTGTAGCCTTTATACTATGTAGATCACACCTAGTTCTAATGGTTGTTTTTATGTGCATCTATGAATATTCACACACATTTGTAGTTGTTATTTGTGTTTGGAGACAGGGTTTCATGTAGCCCAGGCTGGCCTCAAACATGCTGTTTAGCTGAGGGTGACTTTGAACCTCTGAATCATCCTGCCTCCACCTCCGAAGAGCTAGGATTACAGGTGTGGACCACTTTGTTGTATCTTAAATATTCATTTCTTCTATTGTATGAAAAGTAAATTATTGCTTAGGTGTGGTGGTGCATGCCTTCTAATGCCAGCATTCAGGGGGCAGAGGCAAGCAGATCTCTGAGTTCAAGGCTAGGTAGGGCTACATGGTGAAACCCTGCCTCACCCCCTCCCCC